GCAGGACTGGCCTAGGGGTATTTTAAAGGGGTTTTAAATTAAATTTTTAGTAGAAGCGGCCAAATTTAAATAGTTATTTTTAATCTTTTTAAATTTTGTATTGTATTGTACCATTGTTTTAAACTGGCTGTAAGCCGCCCTGAGTCCTCCGGGAGAAGGGCGGGGTATAAATTTAATAAAATCAAAATCAAAATCAAATTTTCTAATCTTTCAGTTCATACTTTTCATTTGATATGCAAAGTATCAGTTCAATAACTCACTCACAAGACTTTTAACCAACAATGGTCATTTGTAGACTAAGAATTGTGGCATTCTTTACTTTGAAATAAAGACGTTCAAAGTTCATATGCAAGGACAATTTGGAAATAAACCTCCATTTGGTTATCAATGACAGACACTCATAGATACAGAACTTTTATTATACCCTTTAGAAAACTACATTACTTTTCGACATAGTCACCATTCAAATTGAGGCACTTGTCATAACGTCTTACAAGATTTGAAATTCCTTAGTAGTAGTTGCTCAGCACCAAATCTGGGCTATGGGGAGAGGTGATCAAAAATATCCCAACGGAACTGCTTCAAAAGTTCTTGGGTGCCTCTAGCGATGTGCGAGCATTATCGTGAACCAACACCACACCGGAAGTCAGCATGCCCCAATGCTTGTTATGGATGGCTCGTCTGAGTTTTTGTAATGTTTCACAATAGACTTCTGAACTGATGGTCGAACCACGCTCCATGAACTTCACTAGCAGTACTCCTTTGGCATCTTCACGTACATTTGGTGGGATCTTCTATGGCACCACTTCCAGCGTGGTGTTGGTTCACGATAATGCTCACCCGCACACCGCTAGATGCACCCAAGAACTTCTGAAGCAGTTCCGTTGGGATGTTTTTGATCACCCTCCCATAGCCCAGATTTGGCGCCGAGCAACTATTACTAAGAAATTTCAAACCTTGTAAGACGTTATGACAAATGCCTCAATTTGAATGGCAATTATGTCGAAAAGTAATGTAATGTTAATAAAAGTTCTGTATCTGCGAGTGTCTGTCATTGATAACCAAATGGAGGTTTATTTTCAAATTGCCCTCATATATCCACAAACCCTGAAAGTATACAATATCCTACCTGACTCCCACACATCAAACTCTGGGCTGCCATCATAATAGATTTCATTCCAGAAGCACAAACTTTGTTGACAGTTGTGCAAGGAGTAGAAACTGGTAAGCCTGTGCCAAATAAAAATAAACTAATAAGACAATAATAAAAAGAACTGCAAGCAAAATGCAAATAAAT